AGGAGGAGCTTTCCCGCAAACAGCTTCCCGTCTTCGCCAAGCTCTGCGAGGAGCCGGCCCCCGACTCCGACGCCCCCGCTCCTCCGGCCTGCGATCCACTGGATCGTTCTGAGCCCCCCGCCCTCGAGCCCGGGGATCGTCCCCCGCCCGGGGGAGGCAGGGAGACCGAGGCATGCGAGGCCGTCACCCCGGAGCCCAGGCTGCAAAACGGGGGCCCCAGCCGGTCGGAGCACAGTTACAGTACCTGCCGGCACCCACAGAAGGCCTCGCTCTCGGCCTCCCGCAGGGGCAGCCAGGCCGGGAAGAAGGAGCCGGGAGCGGGAAAGGGCCAGGAGCGGGAAGGGCTCGGGGCGAAGGCCCTCAAAGCCAAGGACGGCTTCCGCTCGCCTAGGAGGGAAATGGGGCCGCAGGCTTTTGGCCTGGCCGAGGAGGAGACGAAGAGGGACTTGGAGAGCGTGGCGGAGGGCGAACGGGTGGCTCGGTCGCTCAGCCCTGAGCGTCAGGCCGGCACGGACGAGGATGTTTCGGGCCCCGGGCCCCTGGCGGCCGGGCGGACCAAGGAAGCCTTCCCTCCCTCCTCCTCTTCCTCCTCCTCTTCTTCCTCCTCCTCCTCCTCCTCTTCCTCCTCTTCCTCCTCTTCCTCCTCCTCCTCGCAGCTGGAGGCCGAGGCCTCCGGGATGGAGCGATCGCTCGTCTACCAGGAAAAAAACATGGCCGCCTCTGGCCTACTGCTTCCCGCTTCCACCTATGACTGCAACTCCAAGTACGGGGCGGGTCTCTACGCCAACCGCTTCCTGGGGGGGTCCCTGACCATGCCCAGCCGCCCCCCACTCATCAACTACCCTCCCCCTGTGCCCCCTGCCCCACCCGCTCCCCCAACCTCCAGCTACTCCCAGCACCAGGCTTTCTACCAGCCTAGGCCCCTCCGCATGGCCCACCAGCCAACCGCCTACCAGCAACAGCAACCCAGCTGCTTTGTGCGGCAAACCAACCCTTACAACTACAGCCAAATGGGCCAGGAATATGTCCCCCGTCAGACCTACATCCGGGCCACCTATGCCCCTCTGGTGGGCTACTGGTCGTTTGTGCCCGAATACTCCTACACGGCCCCCCGCAACGCCCCCAAGCCCCTAGCCCCGGGCGGGGGCAGCAACAACCCCCCTCCCATGGCCGGTGACGGCCCTCAGTGCCTCTTCCAGCCGGCCTACGGTTACGTGGACACCAACATGGCAGCCACCAGGTTTAACTCCGGACGATCGGGTCCCGTCTACAACAACAACAACTTCCAGATGTATTACCCGGCAGATGGTAGCGGCTACAACTATTGGTAGCCATTAGGCGCGAGGAGAGGGAGCCGGAGTGAGCCTGAGAGAGAACGAGAGAGAGAGAGAGAGAGAGGGGCATCAGGCCTTAGGCTTTAGGCCTCAGGTTAGGCCTCAGGCTTATGTCTCTCTCTATATAGGAACGCCAATCACAGCGTTGTTCAAGAAGCATTAAAATAGGAAGAAAATTCTTCCTTTAACCCTTACAGTGGAAGTGCAAAGGTCATCCACTGGAAATCTCTCCCAGGAACTTTCAAGCCCCGTCGTGTCCACTGCTACCGGTGGGAACGCAGGACCAGGAGGAGGCCATTCAGCCCCGCGAGCCTGTTCCGCCATTCGATGAGATCATGGCCGATCTGTACCTCAACTCCAATCGCCCGCCTTTGCCCCATATCCCTCGATACCCTGTGACCTAACAACCATCGGTCCACCTCAGTCTTGACGTTGTGAAGGGATTCAGCCATAATCCACAGCCTTTTGGGGTTTGGAGAGAGTTCCAGATTTCCACCAGCCTTTGGATGAATAAAATGGCTCCTAATTTCTCATACAATAATAAGAATCATAATAATAATAATAAGATAAGTCTCATTTCTTAGGACTCAGGCCTTGTGTCTCAGGCCTCACTGTGTTCTGGTCTCACCTGGTGTTACACATATCTTTATCTCACCCCCCCCACCCCACCCCACACCCCCCCACCCTCCTACCCTCTCTGCCCTCCAGCCTCCCCGACCCCCCCAATCCCACCCACCCTTGACCGTTCAGCGCCCCGGGACGTCCTCCCGCCGCGCGGGGCGCGGTGTAAATGTCATTTGGTACTGTATTAAAGATACAGACGCAGCTCCTGTTCTTGTGCTCAGCCGCCCTCCAGCCCCCCCCGTCCCCCCCGTCCCCCCGTCCCCCCCCCGTGCCCCCCCACCCCCCACCCCCCACCCCCCCCCGTCCCCACCCCCGGCTCGGAATGCCAGGCCACGGGATTAGGAGAGGGTTTTTTTTTTATATTAGAATTTCCTCTGATGTATCGTCCGCTAAATCCACTCAGATCCCATCTTATCTCTGCCCCGTCTGTCCTGCGCGCGCGTGTGTGCGCGCCCGTGTGCGCGTGTGTGCGCGCCCGTGTGTGACTGTGTTTGCGTATTGCGTTTCCCTGTGTTTGCTGGTGTTCAGTATTGTTATTAATAATAATAATCACAATAATAATAATAATGATCCCCGGCATTTGATACGCCGCCTTATCACGTCTTCGAGCCGTCTCGAAGCGCTTCACGGGATACAACCGTAAAGTGGAGTGACTGTGTATTTTGTGGGCGGCGTCCGCCACGACAGCGGTGGATCGAGTGACAAATTATTATTATTTTCGGAGGGATTATTGCCCCCGGAAAGCGATTCCGCCAATCGACTCACAACCGGGTTCCTACTGACTGTTGGTCAACCTCCCTCTGTGCAGTCTCTCCATCTCTCTCTCTCTCTCTCTCTCCCTCTCCCTCTCTCTCGCTCTACCTACGCGTCCCCGATATCGCTGAACCCAAAAAAAAACCTCGACGCAAGTCAGCGATCGATGCAGTGGGGTCCGAGGAGCCGCGCAGCTCGCGGCTGAACGCCGGAAACATTACAACGTTCCCTCGAGGTGTGTGTGTGTGTAAAAAAAACGCTTCTCTCCCTCTGTCTCTCTCTCTCTCTCTCTCTCCTTAAATATCCACGAAAAAAAACAACGTGGACGGACGCCAGGAGCCCCGCGCTCAGCCGCGAACCCGGCTTCGAGGTGTCTGCGCCCGGCCCGGCCCCGAGCGAGCGAGCGAGCGAGCGGGGCAATGACTTTGCGCTCTCCGCGGACATCCCATAACCACAACTGCCGATCCCCGACTCGCGTTTGCCCGGTTCCCATCTGCCGAGCCGCGGCTCGAGTCGGTAGAATTGTTTCTTTCCCGTAGGGTACAGTCGAACAACGGTCCCCGTGTACCGATACGGTGCCTTGTCAGCCTCGTCGAGACGTCTCGGAGCGCCTCACAGTGAAGCGTAGTGACTGTGTCTTCCACCGGCAGCCGATCGCGCACCGCGACGTCCCCACAAACAGTGGTGGATTGAGTGACCGAATTATGATTATTATTATTATGATGTTATTATTCATTTGCTTTTTGAATGGATTATTAGCCCCGGAAAAGCCATCCGACTAACAACCGAATGGGTAAATAGAGGCGCGTGTGTGTGTGTGCGCGCGTGTGTGTGTGCGTGAGTGTGTGTGCGTGTGCGCGCGTGTGTGTGTGTGCGCGTGCGTGTGTGCGTGTGAGTGTGTGCATGCGTGTGTGTGTGCGTGTGTGTGCGTGAGTGTGTGTGTGCGTGTGTGTGTGCGTGAGTGTGTGTGTGCGTGTGTGTGTGCGTGAGTGTGTGTGTGCGTGTGTGTGCGTGTGCGTGCGTGTGTGTGTGCGTGCGTGTGTGTGTGCGTGTGTGTGTGCGTGTGTGTGCGTGTGCGTGTGGAGTAACTTGCCTAAGATTTTGTCCCGCCCGAGATTCGGACCCGGGTCCTTTCGCTTGCGAGGCGAGCGCTCTAACCACTCAGAGCACGCACTCGCGCGCTCTAAAAAGCAAGTGCGTCGACGGTGGAGTGGAGGGTGGGGTGTGCGGGGGACGTGTGCGGGGGCGGGGGGGGGGGGTGTGAGGGTGGGGTGGGGGGGGGGGGGAGGCAGAAGGTCCGAGCCGGCCGAGCGAAGCCAATCACTGGCACAGGAAAGGTTTCGCTGAATCTTTATTGCTCTTCGGAATAAACAGCCGGGTTTCCCTCCGCATCGAGGGCGGGCGGGTGGGGTGGGGTGGGGGTGGGGGGTGGGGGTGGGGTCCCACCCACACAGAGACCAACCCCCCCCCCACCCCTGCTCTCTCCGCAACACCCAACACACACGCACACACACACACAGACCCTCACCCACTCTCTCTGGGCGATCGTGGTCACCTAAGTGTTAGAGGGTCCGGGGGAGGACATGTTATTATTGCACTCGGTCACGCAAAGAGAGAGAGAGAAAGAGAGAGAGAATGAACGTGCGGTATGTTCCTATGTCTCTTGACCCTCACACACGCACACGCACGCACACGCGCACACGCACTGAAGACATTAAGGTCGAAATAAAATGGCTTCCTCTTACGATGGGAAAGATCAGAAAACCGCTCCTCTATCTCACACCGCGATCCCCCCTCTCCTTCCTCTTCCTCCTTCCTCCCTCCCTCTCTCTCTCTCATACCCTTTCGCTCTCTCTCTCTCTCTCTCTCTCTCTCTGCGGGTCCCAGCACTCAACCCCCTCACATCCCCCCCCCCCCCGCCCCCCGCCCCCCCCTCCACACGCACACACACACACACACCAAGTACGGAACTGACTGAACTACCGATATAGGAATATGTTCAACATTTGCATTGACGGACAGATACGCACACACACAGACACGGACAATCACACCCTCTCTCCGCCCCACACCCCCAAGGGCAACGAGTTGACCCACACATGGACCTACCCCAGAGAGGACTAGCCTTCCCTTCCCCCCCCCAACCCCCTTCCCCCTTATTTGATGCCCAACTCCCATTTCCTCTGCTCAAATACTGGACTGGGGGTGAAAACCCTTTGGCGGCACGGAAAGAGGCCATTCGGCCCAGTGGGTTACAGCCTGAGGAAAGGCGAGGGCAACACCTGAGGTTGGACCTCAAACGCCAACCCAAATATGCAATGAAGAAGGAGGGAGGGGAGGAGAAGAGTGTTTGGGAGGGAGGGATGGAGGGATGGGGGACATCAACGAGCCAACACACTGCCCCAATACCTAGTTACACTTCCAACGAATAACACATCAACTCCCCACCCCACCCCACCCCCCACCCCCCCAAAAAAACCCCCATACATATGGAGAGGTGGAAGAAATGGCTGCCGTGGCACTTCCTGTCCCCAGCAACTTCCTGGGCACATTTCTGAAGAAGGAAGATGACACGAAAGAAAAAAAATGGCCGGACCTGATTATAGGGTTTCTTTTTTTCTCTCTCTCTCTCTCTCTCTCTCTCTCTACAGACACATTTGGAAGAAACAAATAGTCGCGAGGAACGGGAATCTTTCACCTTCGCTCAAAGGGTAAAGCGAGGTGAGGTGACGTTGTCCATTAAACAATTGGTTACAGTACATAAAACTCTACACAAAATTCTTCTTCACAGATCTACTCCTCTTCCTCTCTCTCTCTCTCTCTCTCTCTTTCTCTCCCTCTCTCCCTTCCTTCCTCTCTCTCTCTCTCTCTCTCCTCGGATGTCTTCAAGATAGGTCCCTGTCCTTGGAACTTCCGTACATATATGAGTCCGTGCCCGGTTCTTGGACGAACTCTTCCTTCTTGTCCCATTCGGATGCCCATCCTCCGTTGACTACGTTGGTGGTGTTGGTGGCTCCGTAGCTGCTGGCGCCCAGGGTGATGTCCCCCGTCTCCTCCGCCAACTCGTCCTCGTGGATGAAGCCGCACTTCTCATCGCTCAGCTCCTCGGGTTCGGCCCACGGCTGCTTCTCCCCCGAGGCGAAGAGGCCGTAAAAGATCACCCCACCGTAGTGGACCAGAGAGGCTATGAGGAAGACGTATTGCCACTCTTCCCGGCTCTGGGCAAACAGAAAGCTGGAGGTTAGCGAGGGAAGCCGGAGGTTAGCGAGGGAAGCCGGAGGTTAGCGAGGGAAGCCGGAGGTTAGCGAGGGAAGCCTCACTCTGAGGGTCTCAGAGCCACTCCCGCATCTGTGCGGTTGTGTTGGTTGACCTCAGGGTGAGTGTCTGGCCTTTGAGGACAGGCAATGGGGACATATTCATCAACCTACTCCTGATCCCTGGTTGGCTGACATGCACTTGGATCTCAGAGGCCTGAGATGATGATGATAATAATAATAATACTTGCATTTAATGTTCCACCACCTTGTCACGTCGTCGAGACGTCTCAAAACGCTTCACAGGACGCACCGTGCATTTTGTGGCCAAGACGCGGCAGCCAGTTGCGCCCAGCGGCGCCCCTCAAACAGCCGTGGGTTGAGCGACCGCTGGCGAGGGAGGGGAGCGAGCATCGGAACGGACCCAGCGGGGGCAAAAGGGCGGGGGGAGTGGGATTGGAGTGGAGAGCCGAACTGATCCAAGTGTCGAGCCGCGAAGAGTTGTGTCGCTCACCTTGTGCTTAGTCATGGCTCCGACGATCAGGGGACACACCATCCCCGACAGCGTTCCCACCCCGTTAGACAACCCCATCAGGATGCTGGCGTACCGGGGCGCGATGTCCAGGTGATTCACGTTGAAACCTTTAGTGGAACGCACGGAGATCTTAACTACCGCCATTCCTCCACCGGAGCCTCTCTACCCCTCACCCCCATTCCCCCGCGCTCTCCCCCCCACCCCCCACCCCCCATCGTGTCTGTGCTGGGGCTCGCTCCCCCACACCGGAGCTCTATAATAATAACAATCCTCGTGCTTGATGCAGCGTGGTCGGGACGTCCCGAAGCGCTTCACGGGATCACACGGTAAAGCAAAGTGACCGCGTATTCGGCGGCCAAAGCGCGGCAGCCAATTGCGCTCAGCGGCGCCCCACCAACAGTTAACCGTTCGAGAGACCGCGTTTTTTTTTTTCTTTGAGGGATTGTCACCCCCCAGGAAAGTGATTCTCCCCGGTCGTCTAACAACCGGGTCGCTGTTCGGTAAACGGAGACGTGTGTGTGTGTGTGTGTGTGCGTGTGTGTGTGTGCGTGAGGTAGGAAACTTGCCGAAGGTCTCGCCCTGCTCGGGAATCGAACCCGGGTTGTCTCGCCGGCGAGGAGAATGTTCTAACCTAACTACGCTACGGGATAAGATGGACGAAAGAGGGCCCTTCGTCCACGAACTCCTTGTGACTGTGTTGATTTCACCACAAGTCTGTGCTGTCTTCCGTTCTAAGGCTAAGAGGTCCACCGGGCACAGACCGGGTGGGATTTCCTCAGACATTGTCGGGACGGATTAGATATTGAGGGGAGGACCGGACGGTGGAGGGAATGGTTACCTGATATAGCAAATCCACTGAAACCCACAGCGAGGACCAGGAAGGTGATGGAAACCGCTCTGGTGTGAGAGAATCCTACAACAAGCAGTAGAGTTGCCTCCATACCGAAGCCTTCGGGGGAGGAAACGGGGGTGAAGTGAGTTAAACAGAGACTTCCTCGTGGACCCAACAACAATATGGACCCAATATGGTGCCCTCCACATTCCTTCACATGATTTGGTTACACCGTCAGGACTACAGGATAGTTCTGCTGGGAACTGGGATAGTTCTGCTGTGTGTGTACGTGTGTGTGTGAGTGTGTGTAGGTGGGTGGGGTTGGGAGGGGGAGTGGGGGGGATGTAAGGAAACCCGGGTCCTCTCGCCGCCAACTCACCTCCGCAGTTCATCATTTTCCTGACATTTGTGGTTGACATGATGCGCCTGCTGCGGAGGTGGTCTGCGATCTGCCCGCCAATGGGCACCACGATGGTCATAACCAGGTGGGGCAACGCGGAGATCATGCCAACCTGCCACAGGGCCGAGAGAGAGGGGGCGTCAGATTGACAGCGGAGTAACAACGACGATGATGACGACGATTCGGACAGTGGAGCTCCCTGGCATCTCCCTCCCTCCCTCCCTCCCGCTCCGCCACCGTTAAGCGCTCCGAGACACTTTTCTGCAGCGCCCTTTCAGGCGGGTTTTCCCCCCCAAAACAGGAGACCCGTCTCTGAGTCGCGTTCGCGTCGCACCTTGCTGATCTCGAAGCCGAAGACCTCCTCAAAGTAAGCCGGCTGGCTGATCAGGAGCAGGTAGAAGGTCCAACTCCGGCAGAAGTTGGCCACGATGATGGCGTAGACGGGCATGGAGGTGAAGAACTTCCTCCAGGGAGCTTTGAATTTCTGTGGGGAGCGGGAAATAAGGACAGACGGACAGAGCGAGAGAGTGGGGGGGGGGGGACACAGCTACGTAGCTTCACGGTCCCCCGGCAGAACCCCGAAACGAAGCACGTGCCCCCCCCACCCCCCTCCCCCCACCCCACCGCCATCTTTCTCCACGCATCCTATTCTAGGATTCCATCTTGAAAAGGAAGAGGGGGAAGAGAGGGGGGAAGGGGAGAAGGGGAAGAGAGAGAGGGTGGGGGAGATGGGAAGAAAGGTTAGAGAGGGGGAGAGGGGGTGGAGGTGGTGAGAGGGTTGAGAGAGGGGAGAGTGTGGGTGGAGGGGGAAGAAAGAGGGTTGGGGGGGCTGAGAGGGGGAGATCGGGGTAGGGGGGGAAGAAAGAGGGGTAGAGATGGTGAGAGGGCAGAGAGGTGGCGAGAGTGGGGGAAGAGGAGTGAGTGGAGGTAGAGGGGGAATAAGAGGGGAGAGAGGGGAGAAGGGTAAGAGAGGGAGGCGAGGTGGTGAGAGAGAGGGGGAGAGATGATGAGAGGGGAGAGAGGGAGAGAGGGGGTAGATGGGGGGGGGGGGGGGGGGGAGTGGGGTGGAGGGGTTGAGGATGCCATTTGAGGGGAGTGACAAGCCCGACTTACCACGAGGGGATTCATCAGGTTGCCTCCTTCTCCGATGGCTTCCTCGATGTAGGTCCTCTCCTCCTGGGAGATGGTGGGATGGGCGGCCGGACTCTCGTACGAGACGAGCAGCCAGAAGGCGTACCAGATAACACCAAAGGTGCCTTCACACAGCACAGCACACAGCGCACTCTCACTCCCTCGCTCACTCGCTCGCTCGCTCTCTCGCTCTCACTCTCTCGCTCTCTCTCTCTCGCTCGCTCTCGCTCTCTCGCTCTCACTCGCTCTCACGCTCTCGCTCTCTCGCTCTCTCGCTCTCGCTCTCTCGCTCTCACTCGCTCTCACTCTCTCGCTCTCACTCTTCACTCTCTCGCTCTCTCTCGCTCTTTCTCGCTCGCTCTCTCGCTCTCACTCTCTTCGCTCTCTCGCTCTCTCTCGCTCTCACTCTCACTCTCTCGCTCTCACACTCTTCACTCTCTCGCTCTCTCTCGCTCTCACTCGCTCTCTCGCTCTCGCTCGCTCTCTCGCTCTCGCTCGCTCTCTCGCTCTCGGTCGCTCTCTCGCTCTCGCTCGCTCTCTCGCTCGCTCTCTCGCTCTCTCGCTCTCTCGTTCTCACTCTCTCGCTCTCACTCTCACTCTTCACTCTCTCTCGCTCTCTCGCTCTCACTCTCTCTCTCTCTCTCTCTCTCTCTCGCTCTCTCGATCTCTCTCTCTCACTCTCTCTCTCTCGCTCTCACTCCCACTCTCTCCGACACCTACCGTAGACGTAGAAGACGGAAGACCATCCGTGGTATTGGACGAGAATCCCCGCGAGAGGCATTGCCACCACCGCCCCAGCGTAGGAGCCTGAAGCCAACACAAACCGGTCACACACACACGCACACACCCGCCCCACCCCGCAACCCCCCCCCACCGCAGCAAAGCGCAGGAGCCACCCCCCCCCCCCGCCCCGCCCCGCAGCACGACTAACCTCCCTCCTCCCACGCATGCAATGCAACTAACCACAGGCAACAATGCGACCCACGTCCGCATGCGATGCAGCAGTATATAGTGCTGACGATCCGGCGTGTGACCCGGCGCCTGATCACGTCTTCGAGACGTCTCAAAGCGCTTCGCAGGACGTGCCGTAGAGCGGTAGTGACCGTGTGTTTTGTCGGCGACACGCGGCAGCCGATTGCGCCCCCAGCGGCGTCCCCACAAACAGCCGCGGATTGAGTGACCGAATTATTACTATTATTATTATTATTATTTTTGAAGGGATTATTACCCCAGAAAAGCCATCCGCCAATCGACTAGACCAGCCCCCAGCCCCCAACCCCCAAACCCCATCCCCCAGCCCCCAGGCCCCAACCCCCAGCCCCCAGGCCCCAACCCCCAGCCCCCAGGCCCCAGCCCCCAGCCCCTAACCCCTAAACCCCAAACCCCAGGCCCAGGCCCCAGCCCCCAGGCCCCAGCCCCCCAACCCCCAGCCCCCAACCCCCAAACCCCAAACCCCAGGCCCCAGGCCCAGCCCCCAGCCCCAACCCCCAAACCCAAACCCAGCCCCCAGGCCCAGGCCCCAAACCCCAAACCCCAAACCCCAGGCCCCAGCCCCCAGCCCCCAAACCCCAGCCCCAGGCCCCAGGCCCCAGCCCCCAGCCCCCAACCCCAAACCCCAAACCCCAGCCCCAGGCCCCAGCCCCAGGCCCAGCCCCCAAACCCCAGGCCCAGCCCCCAGGCCCAGGCCCCAACCCCCAGCCCCCAGGCCCCAGCCCACAACCCACAGCCCACAGCCCACAGCCCCCAGGCCCCAGCCCCCAGGCCCCAGCCCCCAACCCCCAGGCCCCAGCCCACAGCCCCCAGGCCCAGCCCCCTGGCCCCAGCCCACAGCCCCCAGTCCCCAAACCCCAGGCCCCAGGCCCCAACCCCCAGCCCCCAGCCCTCAGCCCCCAGCCCCCAGCCCTGCCCCGCGCAGACCCAGAACTCACCACAAAACGCCGTGGTAGCCAGTCTGCTTCGCTCTAGCGGAGGCGCCCACTTGCTCCAGATGCCATGGCAGGCCGGGTACGTGACGCCCTGCTCACACGCACACGCACACGCACACGCACACACACACACACATACACAACAACGACAAGGAGGAGATCAGAATCAGGAGGGCATAAGGATTTGCTGGCGGAAGGACATCCCAGTTCGTCTTCCACCATCTTGGCAGCCACTTGACATGTCGTGTCCCAAACTATACACGAGCCCCAGATATTATTTCCCAGCAGAAACCTGTCCGTTCAGGCTGCCTTGCCCAGCTGGGGAGGCGGGAGAGTGGGGGGAATTGGGGGGAGGAGAGTGGGGAAAGTAGGGGTCACTCACCTCCACCAACCCCTGTAGGATCCGCACCAATATCACGCAGCTGTAGTGGGTTCTCGCTGCCGGCGGGATCAACATGTTGAGGGAAGATGTCGCCACGATGGCCCACCCGAACACTCTGCCGGAGATAGGCAGCGAGAGGCAGGGTTACCCCCGTCGGCCTCCTGCGTAACCAAATCCTCACCACTCGCTTCGAATCCCTTCCCTCCCTGGCACCCTCACTTCCCTCCCCCCCCCACTCCCCTCTCCGACCTCCTCACACCCCACTCAACCAACCCAGCGCTCGACTGGCACCCACTGGCCTCCTGCTCGTCCCTCGCACCCGCCGTTCCCCCCCGGCCATCGGAGGTCGCGCCGTCAGCCATTGCGCCCCGAAACTCTGGAACTGTGCCGGCTCTTTGGAAGAGCTCAGGGGTTAGAGCACTCGCCTCACAAGCCAGAGGACCTGGGTTCGATTCCCAGATGATGGAGAAGCCCCACTCCCCCCCACCGCTCTGTCCCCATATCCTTCCAATTTTTTTTCCTCTTCCAGTAGCTCTCCAATTCCCCTTTGAACGTCGAATCTGTTTCCACCAGACAATCCCTAACAATAATTGTTAGGTCAGGGGATCAGGGGATATGGGGGGAAAATTCGAGTTGATCTTATAGAATGGCAGAACAGGCTCAAGGGGCTGAATGGCCTCCTCCTGTTTCTATGTATCTGGAAGGAAGTTTTTCTATCTCTCCCTCTCGCTCTCTCTCTACCGGTTTCCTGGATGACAATTCCTTGGGATGTGCTCACCTGTTGGCAGCAAACCTCTGGGAGATGTAGCCTCCAGGGATCTGTGTGACAATGTAGCCCCAGAAGAAGGAACCATGGATCATCCCCACTGTCTCTGGCTCCCAGTTGAACTTTGCTTTCTGCGGAGAGAGAGAGAGACAGAGAGAAAGAGGGAGAGAGAGAGAGAGAGAGGAGAGTGACATCTGTTACTCCACATGGAACCTCCTGGTCAAGAAACAAAACGAGCGGGAAAACGTGGAGAGGGCGACTGTGACTTGTCCTTCCATACTGAATAGTTCTGCGTTGGGACAGAGAGTAACTCTGGGAGTGTGGACGGACGCACAGTGCAGAGGGACCTTTATTGCGTCTCTAACCCTGACCTGGGAGTGTAGTGACTGTGTTACTGTGTCTCTAACCCTGACCCGGGAGTGTGGACGGACGCACAGTGTAGCGTTGCTCTCGCTTGGGAGACTTAGGCAGTGCGGAGGGAAGTTTACTCTATCTCCAACCCTGACCGGGGAATTGCCAATGTATAGGGAGCATTGGCAATTCCCAGGTCAACACATCTCCTCTCTCTCTCTCTCTCTCTCTCCCCTCCCTCTCTCTCTCTCTCTCTCTCTCCCTCTCCCCCCCTCTCTCTCGCTCTCTCTCTCGCGCTCTCACCTCCATGACCAGCTTGCCGTTCCTGTATTCGGTGTTGTTGTTCACCATGCTGACGATGGCCACTCCAAGGTTGCAGCGGATCCCGAAGGAGATGCAGAAGCCGAGGCCACTCATGATGGCGATGATGTATCTCCGTGGGAGGCCACAGCAGGTGCAGTCCAGCACCGGCTTACGTTTCTCCTGTACCTCCACTGCCCGACCCTCCTCCGTCAGCTCAATTGTCTCCCCCGTTTTCTGCCGTCGCTCGAGGAGCCTAGAATTAGGAATAATTAATAATCACATCAATAGTAATATTAATAGTGCGTAACAATAATTCATCGCATTCATAATTGATCGTTTGTAGTACGGGTCAATAATACGCGATGGACAATCGTCAACGATAATAAGTAATCAATAATAACCAACGATACTTAATAATACTTAATAAGAAGAATTAATAATAATTAGTAATAATTGATAATAATCCTTACATTTGATACGGCGCCTTATCACGTCTTCGAGACGTCTCAAAGCGCTTCACAGAACGTACTGTAAAGTGTAGTGACTGTGGCGAGTGACCAAATTACTTACCCCCAAAAGTAAATCGATCCACCAATTGACTAACAACCGGGTTCCTACTGACTGCTGGTAACCAGAGGCGTGTGGGTGTGTGTGTGTGGGTGTGGGTGTGTGGGGGGGGGGTGGGGGTGGAGTAAGGAAACTTGTCCAAGGTTTCGCCCTGACCCGGGAATCGAACCCGGGTCCTCTCGCTCGCGAGGAGAGGGCTCTAACCCCTGAGCTACGAGGACTCCAACGGATCTCCTTATCCCAATGAAACACCTTCCCCCCCAGCGCTGCACTGGAGCATCAGCCTTGAGACCTTGAGACCTCAGAGTCCCTTTACGGGGCTCGACCCCGCAATCTTCTGACCGAGAGGCGAGAGGGTGGCTAATTGAAACGGGGTGACGGTGGGGGGGGGGGGGAAAGAGGGAAGAGAGAGGGGGGAAGGGAAGGGAAGGGAGAGTGATATTCCTGTGACACAATCCAAATCAAGTCAAATCAATCCAAATCTCTGAATAATATGGTGTCCTCTGTCGAGGTATTTGGCGTTTCGAACCGTTTCGACCAGGAACGAGAGCGAGAGAGAGAGAGAGAGAGAGAGAGAACGACAGAGAGAGCGACAGAGAGAGCGACAGAGAGAGCGAGAGAGAGAGCGACAGAGAGAGCTCAAATCCCTTCTCTTTTTGGACATCTCCACGGTATCTTTAACGTCCACCTCAACAGGCAGACGGGGAGAGAGGTTCAATGACCTTATCCTCTGCAATCCTTACCACCCCCACGAGTCAAGCGCAGAGCCCTGGTTCATCACTCCACGGTCTTGCTCCCCCCCTCCTACCCCTCCGACCTCCTAACCCCCATATCAGTCCGTCCTTCCCCACCGCTTGGCCTCCTTCAGGTCTCAGCCACCCCACGCACGCGGGAAGTCTGTCCCGCAATCCCTCTGCCTGGCCCCCCCCCCCGCCCCCCACCACTCTCTTGCCTCCTCCAAGTCCGGTCTAAAGGCCTTCCTCTTCGACCCCGTGGTCTCGACCACCCTCGAAGGGGTTTGAGGCCGCAGCCTTCTGACCCCGAGGCAAGAGAGAGTGAGCCGACTGAGCCGGGTTGAGACAGAATAACAGTGAATTAAATATTAATAATAATAATAATAATCCTTGTATTCGATACAGCGCCTTATCGCCTCTTCGAGACGTCTCAAAGCGCTTCACAGGGTGGGCTGTAAAGTGTAGTGACTGTGTGATTCGTGGGCGAAACGCGGCAGCCAATTGTGCCCGGCAGCGACCCCACAAACAGCTGGGGATTGAGCGACCAAATTATTATTATTTATATATATATTATGGGTTGGGGTGGTGGGTGGGGGTGGGGGGGGGTGGGGGTGGGGGAGGTGGGGGCGGTGGGGGGGTGGGGGGGTGTTGGAGAGTGGGGAAAGGGAACGATGAGGGAGTTCAGACGATGTGTGCACAGAGCAAACAGATTGATGACCTCAAACCTCTCGTGGGATTACCACACAGTAATCAGTGGCCCTCTCCCCCCCCTCCCTACCCCCACACCACCACCGCCCCCCCCACCCCCCACCCCACCCCCACCCCCACCCCCAGTCACTCAACGGAATTGGGTTTCTGCTATTAATCTCATTCTGAATGGAATGAACCGAATGTTCGGAGCCGCGACGATAAATACGGTTTGACACAGCCTCTCAAAGCGCTGCACCGGATACGCTGTAGAGCGTAGTGACTGCGTGTTCGGCGGGCCAAACCCCGGCAGCCGAGTGCGCCCCACAAACAGCCGTGGATCGAGTGACCATTTGAGGGGTTATTACCCACCCCCACCCCCCCCACAACCCCCCCCCCTCCCGGAAAGCGTACGCGCCAATCGGACCCGGGTCCCCTCGCGCGCGAGGCGAGGGCTCTAACCCCTGAGCTACAGGGACTCCATGAAGAGTAAACGGGCGTTGTTTTAACCTCATGGTAAGGCTCGCGCCGTCCTGTTCAGTTTTGTATTGCTCACGTCTTCCTGTCTGTGCTAAGCATTTGCATGTCAATGGTCACAATGACAACAAAAGCAAACGGCGCGTTGGAATGATCCAACAACAGCTCTCGCGTGAGCCTTGACACGGACTGTACAACACGGAAACAGGGCCATCCGGTGCAACTGGTCCTGGTCTGTGTTTATATGCACTACACGAGTGGAGCCCCTGTAGCTCAAGCGAGAGGATCTGGGTTCGATTCGCGGGCAGCGCCAAATGTTGGGCAGGTTTCCTTCACACCCCCCAACCCCCCCCACCCACACACACACACACGCACACACACGCACACGCGCACACGCGCGCGCGCCTCTGTTTTCCCAGCAGTAATTAGGAACCTGGTTGTCAGTGGATTGGCGGAACACTTTGATAAACCCGATAATAAACCCCTCAAACGACGCAAACTAAAAAAACTAGTTCCTCCCAAGTTCTCTCTTGGATCCTCCAGTCACTATCCGATGGCTGTGTACGCCACAGAGGTGCCTCGAAAGCGCTTTGCTGGAATTTCTGTGAAGCGTAGTGACTGTGTATTTCTTGGGGGGTGGGTGGGGGTGGGGGGTGGGGTGTCTGACCCGTGTGAAAACCCATCACCGTGGCTTAAGAGTCTCCAAACCCAACTGAGAATTCCCCACATCCCACCTACACCTGGAAACCTCCAGAGAGAGAGATGGTTGGGATGGAATGCGCTCTCTCTCTCTCTTTCTCCCTGGAGGGACGCCCCCCCCCACCCGCTCACCTAATTCCGGAGAGTATTAGGCGCAGGTTGGCGAGAGCCAAGGCTCGTGGGTGGGGGGCGGGGAGGGTGGGGAGCCCAGACTGTGCGTTGGGGGTAACCGCTGGAGTCTAACCAGCTACACCCACACATAGCTCGGCCGTCGAGAGAGAGAGAGAGAGAGAGAGAGAGAGAGAGAGCGCTGTCTGGCCAAGCTTTCCCACCGCTTGTCCGGCCAGGACCTCCCACCTCCCCCCCTGATCGTTGGCTTTGCGACGGGCTGCGGAGGAGGAGGAGGAGGAGGCGTTGGAGACTGTGAGCTGCTCTGAGACGATCCGACACCACAAGACACTGGAGCCAACGCAAACGTTATTTATAGAATTAAAACCACAGAGGCTCTCAGCGCAGAACAAGGTCATTCAGCCTATCATGTTTGCGCTGTCTCTTGCGAGAGCGATCATTTGAGTCCCCGCTCCGTGCGTCTACTGCTATATATATATAATATATATATATATCTCGACGCCGGATTCGGTGCGTCTTCTATTTGTCGCGCAAAACAGACAGTCACAGCAAAATAAAAGCGCTGCGTTCCTGCAGCTCAGGGGTTAGAGCGAGAGAAAACCGGGGTTCGATTCCCGGGAGGGTCAGGGCAAAAGCTCAGGCGAGTTTCCTTACTCCACACGCGCACACGCACCCGGACACGCACACGCACGCGCGCACGCGCGCACACAAACGCGCGCACGCCTCTGTTGACCCGGCAGTAAGTCAGAAGCCTTTTTCCAGGGGGTTACAAAATTGTGCAGCATTTGACCCGGCGCCTCGTCACGTCTCCGAGCCGCCTCAAAGCGCTCCGCGGGACGCGTCGCCGCAAAGCGTAGCGACCGCGTGCCGTGCCGTGCGGAGCGAAACGCGGCAGCCGACTGCAGTGGATCGAGTCACCACGTTTTTAATTCATCTATTTATTTACTCGGAAGGGATTATTACCCCCAAAAGTAATCCCATCCACCGCTCGACTAACAACCGGGTTCCTACTGACCGCTGGTAACCAGAGGCGCGCGCGGGTGTGTGTGCGGTGTGCGTGCGTGTGCGTGTGTGTGTGTGTGGGTGTGGAGTAAGGAAACTTGCTGAAGATTTCACCCCGACCCGGGAATCGAACCCGGGTCCTCTCGCGTGCGAGGCGAGGGCTCTGACCACTACCCTACGCTGCAGGACTCTACGCTGCAGTAACCCTCTACGGAGGTCTGTCCTTGTTCGCCGTTCGCCGTTGTCTCGCAGCGCTAATTTACGACAGAGATTCGTTGTCGAAATAGATTTGGTCTCGTTTAAGACTCTGCAAAATATTTCTCTTATTCCTGATTAAATTGCGTGTTTCCTAACCCCCACACCCCCCCCCCAACTCTCTCCCCTACCCCCCCCCACCCCCACCCCCACGATCCCCACCGCGTCCCCCGCCCCCCAAAAACACACACACCTGCCACGAACTGACCCCCTCTCAGGAATAATTGGACGCTTTTTCAGTGCTCCGTGTATTTGCTCAGGTGCTCACCAGACTTGGACCCCTCCTGTACTCCTTTATTACCCCCCTGCCCTGCCCCCCCCTCCCCTGCCCCCCCCTCCCCTGCCCCCCCCTCCCCTGCCTCCCCCTCCCCTGTCCCCCCCATCGGGACCACCCACCGTCAACACAATATAAACCTTCTGTCTGATTCAACGCCTTTCACGCCTCAAAGTGCTTCACTGTAAAGCGTAGTGACTGTTGTCAGCCAATTTGCGCACTGCACCCGTCCTCTGAGACGCCGTCCTGTGTGAAGGGCACCGTGTCAAACGCGCGCGCACCCACACTGTCACGCGCACACAAGCACGCACGCACTTACACGCTCAGATACACACTCACACCTGCTCACACACATCCACCACACTCACCCACGCACACGCGCACACACACGCGCGCACGCGCACACGCACACGCACACACACGTTTGCAATATTCATGCAGTCAAATAGAGGCAGTGTGAGCGAGAGAGAGAGAGAGAGAGCGAGAGAGAGAGAGAGAGAGAGAGAGAAAGAGAGAGAGAGAGATGGACGCACTCCAGGTAATCTTATGGCATTAAGTTGTTAGACTGCGGTGTTATGGAAGATTGGATCTCAGAGAGAAAAAAACATTTTCATAAAGCCGGCAATCTCTTAATGTCCGGGGCGGCGGCTCACAGTTTGTATGTGTGTCTCAGCCTTTGCTCTGTGGAAAATCCGGAACTCAACACCCCACTCCCCTGCGATGAAACACGCAGACTTTAAAGCAGTCTGACATTACCTAACCCACACTGGGATTAGACTAATACGCCCAAGGCCGAGGGAATAATCACCCGTTACCAACATAGCTTTAAATCTCAAATACCCACGGCTTGACGCGCGGTGCCAGCTGTCTAACACAGCCAGCGTTTGAGCCTCGTTCCGTACTCCTACCGCTCTACGCGGCTGTCGCGCGCGATCGAGCCCTCGCCTCGCAAGCGAGAGGACCCGGGATCGATTCCCGGGTTGGGGCGAAACCTTAGGCAAGTTTCCTTACTCCCCCCCACACCCCCCCCCCCCCCCACACACACACACACACAACTCTGTGTACTCAGCAGTCAGTTGTTAGTCGATTGGTGGATCGCTTTCTGGGGGTAATAATTCCTCAATCCACGACTGTTTGTGGGGACGTGGCTGAGCGCAATATTGGCTGCCGGGTTTCGCCCACAAAATACACAGTCACTACACTTTGCAGTGGATCCTGTGAAGCGCTTTGAGACGTCTCGAAGACGGGATAAGGCACCGGGTCAAATTGCGAGGATCAGTTGATGCAGCACAGTTGCCACACAAAGGTGGAGATGGAGAGGGAGAGGGGGAGGGGGAGGGCGATACTGTGGGGGAGAGGGGAGCAACAGAGGGGGAGAGAGGGCAAGTGGGGGAGAGGGAGAGACGGAGGGAGAGCGTGCGCAATGGAGGGAGAGAGACGGGGGGTGGAGAGAGCATAATAAAACACACACTGCCCCACCCCTCTCCAGATTAGATTACAATACAATACAATACAATACAATACAATACAATACAAATTCTGGTATATTTACACAGCGTCTTTCATGTCGGGAGTTCATGAAAGGCACTTAGCATCTGAGCTGGAGTGGGGGGGGTGTGGGGGGGAAGGGGTGGTGTGGGAGGGGGAGAGGGGTGTGTGTGTGGGGGGGGGGGGAAGGAATGTGTGCGGAGGGGGAAAGAAGACCGAAAGTGCGGTCAAAGAAAAAGGTCTTGAGATTTCTCAGATATCCCCACAAGATTTTGTTACCCATTTCCAGTATATGGATCGACTGAATGAATAAATGAATTTGAAACTCCCACGAGAGGAGGATCTGTGTTAATGTGTGTGTTAATGTGTGTGTGTGCGTTAGTGTGTGTGTGTGTCAATGTAGTGCGTGTCTGAAGTGTTAATGTGTGTGTGTTAACGTATGAGTGTGTCAATGTGTGTTAATGTGTGTGTGTTAATGTTGTGTGTCTTAGTGTGTGTATTAGTATACGTGTTACAGTGTGTGTGTGTTAATGTGTGTGTGTTAGTGTGTGTTAGTGTGTGTATTAGTATATGTGTTACAGTGTGTGTGTGTGTTAATGTGTGTGTGTTAGTGTGTGTGTTAATGTGTGTGTGTTAGTGTGTGTTAATGTGTGTGTGTTAGTGTGTGTGTTAATGTGTGTGTGTTAGTGTGTGTGTGTGTGTTAATGTGGTGTGTGTCTGAAACGTTAATATGTGTGTGTTTATGTGCGAGTGTGTGCGCGCGTGTGTGTGTGTGTGTTAACGTCGGTGCGTTAATGCGTGTGTGTGTGTGCATTAATGTGTGAGTGTGTGGGTGTGTTTGTGTGTGTTAAGGTGTATTAATTTTAATGGAGACGGCAGCTGTCAAAGGAAAAAAAAGATGTAAGTCGATTCGATCAAAGGTTTCGAAAGGTTATGAATTATGTAATAGGCTATCGTTTTGGAAAGTCATTCACTCCCCATTACTGTAACTTCCATGAGAGATATTATAAGTAATGTGATTATAATCCTTGCAAATTGAGGCTTACACACACACATATACTCCCACACACCCACCCACACACCCCCCCCACACACACACAACAAATACAATTGAACAAAGTCCCTGTTTCAATTGTCAGAACCGGGTACGGATGTTAGTAATAGTAGTAATAATCTTTGCGCTCGATACAGCGCCTTATCACGTCGTCGAGACGTCCCAAAGCCCTTCGCAGAACGTACTGTGAAGTGGGTGACCGTGTGTTTCGGGGGCGAAACGCGACAGCAGTGTCCCCCCACCCTCTCCCCCACACCCCCCCACACCCCCACCCACACACACACACACACACAAACAGCCGTGGGAGTGAGTGACCGTTTTTATTCGGGTGCGGAAATATCTCGACAGATGGGACGAGATCCCGAACCTTCCCGCAACGGATTAAAGGCTCCAGTTAATTTTTTTTTTGCCTACAGTGACCGGGGATGGGAGCGGATCCATTTGACTTTGAAATAACAGTGCGGTGTTAGGTTTCCAACCAGAATTTCCTCCTCTCTCTCTCCCTCTCCCCATCCCCCCACCCCCCCCCCGCCCCCCCGCCCACCACCCCCTACCCGTCAGGGCTTTGGCTTGCAAGGTTAACAGCAGCTGAGTGGGAGGATTCCCTGCCAGAAAAATATAATTGGGGTGGGAGAGGGGAGGAGAAGTGGGGTGTCGACCCTTTCCGAAGGGGATACGGGGATGTCGATCGTTTAAAAAAAAATGCGACGCCTCGTTTATTATTGATCGTTCCCAGATAACACAGTGTCAACCAAAAAAAACACTCGGTGGCCCTCGAAACACACGGTACGTACAGCGTATCCTGTGAAGCGCTTTGAGATGTCTCGACGACGACGCGATCAAACAAAAGGACGATTCATATACTATTACGGTGATTATTCGAGTGTGGCGGAGGTACGCAGTACGATTGCATTTATTTCTCCCCCTTTCCCCCCACTCCCACCTTCGGCCCAAGTGCAAAAAGTGAGCAATTTAACAAATTAGCAAACGGGGAGAATGTCCTACAATGAATGAATGAGCTGCAAAGGGGCAAATTGATGGAGGAAATCAGGTGTAAGTCGGAACTGGGGGAAAAGGTGGAGTGAATCTTCTATGTAAAAGACCGTTATACAGCGCTTTATTTATTCTATTTTCTGCCCAATTTTCGTTGGTTAGTGGAAGAATTCAAATGGGAGAAATACAACTCACTGTTCACTGGACACACACACACACGTACACACACACACACACACACACACACACACGTATACACACACACACACACACACACATGCGCACACAAATTTCAATCGTCGGGATCCGGCACTGATGTTATTAATAATAATAATAATAATAATAATAATAATAATAATAATAATAATAATAATAATAATCCTCGCATTTGACACAGCGCCTTATCACGTCGTTGAGACATCTCAAAGCACAGGATGCGCTGTAAAGCGAATTGACTGTTTTTTTTTGTGGGCGAAATTAGTTTCCTCAATACTATTGCACCTTTGGGGGTTAGTCATAAAAACAACACGAGCCCAGTGTGGGTGTGTGATATGTGTGGCAGACGGGAGGGGAGAGAGGAGAAGGGTAAATAGATAGTACATGGATTTTTATCATTAACGTACACAGGGATTCAAAAAACCGTATCCTTTCCCCCCTCTGAGGGAAAAAGGGGGAGGAATTGTAACCGCGATTCACGAACAAAAATTGACCGACACCGGAAAAAAAGAAACGGATTTCTTTTCTTCCGAGCGGCAATATAATAATGACAATAACCCTTGCATTTGATGCAGCGCCTTATCACGTCGTCGAGACATCTCCCAGCGCTTCACGGAATATACCGCCAAGTGTAGTGACTGCGTATTTTGTGGGTGGGGGGCGCGCAACGCGGCGGCCAATTGCGCAAACAGTCGTGGATCGAGGGACCGAATTATGATGATTATTTTTTTGATCCCAAATTATTTTTGAAGGGATTGTTATCCCCAGATAAACAATTTCCCCCCAATCGACTACCGCTGGGAAGCAAAGAAACCAAACCACACTGCGGAGGGAACCGACCGTATGGTTTTCGTGGGCGTAAACGGTCGGTACAAAAAAACGAACGGTAAAACGCTCACCTGTGAAGACGTCCCAAGGTGTCGCCCGTCAATTTCCTCAGTTCATCCTTTCGTATCTCCATGATTTTTGCTGCCCTTCTCCTCCTCCTCCCCCCACCCCCCACCACCTCCGCCCACCACCACCGAAAGGAATGGGTTGCTCCTTAAATAAACTTTGAGATGAAATGGGATGAGAGTTCCTCTTCAAACGATTGAACACTTGAACATTGCCGGAGTTAAAGGCAACGTAACGAGAGACCCAACGCAAGGGAGCGAGAGAACAAGCACAAGTTCCCAAAGTCACCTTTGTTTTTCTGGTTGTTTTTTGGCTCCGGATTTGACACGGATCTATACCACAAGACGAGAGTCCCATTCGGTGCAAGACGGATGCATTATTCCTGGACGCGCGTGTGTTGCGCGCGCGCGTGCGTGCGTGCGTGTGTGTTGAGTGTGTGTGTGTGTGAGTGCGTTTGAGAGTGCGAGGAGGAAAGAGAGGGTAGCGGTTTGGGTGGTAGGGGGAAGGGGGAGAGAGCGAGAGAGAAAGAGAGAGAGAGAGGGAGGGAGGGAGAGATGGATCAAGTTTCTTTCGATTGATTCATCGTGGTAAGCGAACACATCAGCTTTGCCGGGAGCTGTAAGTCCTTTGGATAAGCCGGTTCCAAGCGTGCCATCCGATTGCAGGAAGACAGGGAGACGGAGAGCGAGCGAGCGAGAGGGAGAGAGAGAGGGAGAGAGGGGGAGAGAGAGAGCGCGAGACGCAGACGATGTGTTGCGGTGTGGCGTACAGTACGGCTCCCCCCAAAAGAGTTGGGTTGGGAGCTTGAACGTTTCAGCACCTCGACTGCTCGACAGCTCTCTTCTGCCGACTGAGCTCCATCACCCAACCCTCCCTCTACCCTTGGCTCCTCCTAAACTTTCCCGAGCTGTCTCTCACCCGGTGCGTGGGCTGGCTTCAAACTTCTAGACCTGCCTCCTCTCGCTCTCTCTCTCTCTCTCTCTTTCTCTCTCGTTCGCTGTCACACTCACTCACTCACTCACTTACTCCCACACACACACACACACACAAACCCTCCCTCCAACCACTCGCCACCTTCAGCTGTAATCTCCCTGCGCACTCCCTCTCCCCTCTCACTGGCTGTCTTTGCTCTGCCACTCGTTGATGATCTGGTGAGGTGGATGACCCCTTGCTTTTCCTACTCATCTCTCTCTCTCTCTCTCTCTCTCTCTGTTTCCCCCATCTCTCTCTCTCTCTTCATCTCTTTCGCTCTCTCTCTCTCTGTTTTCCCCCATTTCTCCTTCTGATACCCCTGTCTCTCTGTTCGCCCCCCATCTTTCTCTCTCTCTCTGTTCCCCCGTCTCTTTCTCTTTTCCCCATCTCTCTCTTTGTTCTCCCCATCTCTCTATCTCTCTGTTTCCCCATCTCTCTATCTCTCTGTTTCCCCATCTCTCTATCTCTCTGTTTCCCCATCTCTCTATCTCTCTGTTCCCCCCATCTCGCTCTCTGTTCTGTTCCCCCGTCACTCTCTTTCTCTCTCTCTGTCCGCCCCATCTCTAATAATCCTCGCACTTGACACAGCGCCTTATCACGTCTTCAAGACGTCTCAAAGCGCTTCACAGGACACACCGTAAAGTGAATTGACTGTATATTTTTGTGGGCGAAACGCGGCAGCCGCAACGTCCCCACAAACAGCGGTGGATTGAAGCGACCAAATTATTATTATTTTTATTTTGAAGGGATTATTACCCCCGGGAAAGCGATCTGCCAATCGACTAACAACCGGGTTCCTAATTACTGCTCTGTGTGTGTGTGTCTGTGGGTGTGTGTGTGTGTGTGGAGTAAGAAAACTTGCCCAACGTTTCGCCCTGACCCGGGAATCGAACCCGGGTCCTCTCGTCCGTGCGAGACGAGGTGCTCTCACCCCCTGAGCTACAGGACTCCGGAAACGTGGACGCGGTCGGAACGCTGCTGCACACAAATTGGCTGCTGCCTTCGCCCGGCGAGTACACGCGCGGTTTCTCTCGCGAAGAGGTTGAGACGTCTGCGTGACGTGAAGACGCCAAGAAAAGCGAGAGAACGGGGGGTGGAATTTCGTCCCTCGGAAGCAGTCGTCCCAGCGAGAGGCGACGGCAGCTAAACACACACAGACGCAGATCGCACACAGTCGCTGATGTAGCAGAGAGCTCTCTCACAATGCCATGAAGGTTAATATAACACCCCACCCCTGAACCTTTCACCACTACCCCTCCTACAGCAGACCCAGGTTCTTTTTGGTGGGGGGTGGGAGTGAAACCTAACCCTCCTTTGTGTCTTCAGACGCCAAAAGCCCCCCCACCAACAACAGGGGCAAACGAGACGTCAAGGGAGAGAGAGAGAGAGAGAGAGATCAGTCGACGGGGAGTGTTGTGTTGTGAGCAAACAGCTTTCTTTACGCAGTGAAGGTCACAGCTCAGGGTTGGGACATCTGTGGCTCTTCGGGAAGAGGTTTACTATGTTATTTTTCACCCCCATCCCCCCCCCCCCCCCCCACCACCGGTTCTTTGCCTGGCGTCGCTAAGTGCGGTGGTGGAGGGGGGTCTCCGGTTCAGAAGCGAACTGGATCCGGTTTCAATCTGACGCAATAAAGGTTCGTGTTCCCCCACCGTGCAAGTTCTGCATTGCAACACTCTCCTTTAATCCGTCCCCAATTAACACAGCGTTAAGAGGTACCGGTTACTTATATTCCGCCTTTAAGAGGGCGTCTGCGTCGCGGTAAGTGGTTGGTCTATATTGCCTTAATGCGTTCCAATGGCATCTGCGTTTCAGACGGTTTCGGAGAGAGGTTAAGCAAAGTCTCATTAAAAGTCGGCCAGCGACACTCTCTCTCAATCCCTCCAGATGAAGCAGTCTTTTACCTCCTGGCTTTGCCGAGCGCAAATTGGCTGCAAACAAAAACCCAGTCGCTACCCTCTATGGCAAATCCCGCGAAGCACTTTGGGACGTCCTGACACGGATTCTTTCCCAAGCAAATTAGAACGATTTCTTTCAGGGAATAATATCCGGGGCTAATGCGCAGTGTATAGTTTGGGACTCGACATGTTCAAGCGACTGCCAAGGTGGTGGAAGGCAAACTGGATGATCTTGGTCTTCTTCTTGAGCAAATCCTTACGTTCTTATGTTCTGATGAATGGCACCGGGTCAAACAATAAAGACCTCACAACTTCACGTGAGCAAGATACCAACTGATGGGCAATCAAGTCCAACGGGGGTACATTTACGCCTATACAGAGCCTTTCAGGTCGGGAGGATGTCCCAAAGTGCCTGACATTTCTGCTCTGAGGATAATACTACCGAACAATAATCCTTGTCCTTGATACAGCGCCTTATCACGTCGTTGCGACGTCTCAAAGCGCTTCACTAGATACACCGTGGAGTGAATTGACTGTGTGTTTTGTGGACGAAATGATGGGAGCTGGGCGTGAGGGGCGGGAGGGCCGGGGCGGGAGGGCGGGGGGGGTGAGGGGTATGCGAGGAGGGGAAAAAATAGACCGAAAGTCTGGTCAAAGAGGTACGTTTTGAGGAGAGGGAGGGGGGGGGTTGAGTTGGAGGGAGAGAGTTGGAGGGTTTCGGGGATGGAGTTCCAATGGCTATAAAGCCTGCTCACCAACTGTCACAACAACAACATTTACACAGCGGATTTTACGTCGGGAGGACGTCCCAAGGCACTGGGCAGTCAGTGTTTCGGACCCGAGCTGGGGGTCGGGGAGGGTGGAGGACAATGGGGGAAACGAGGGTGGTCGAAAACACGGTCGAAGAGGCATTCTCTTGAGATGGGCCTTGAAGGAAGCAAGAGAGGGGGCGAGGCCCGTGGGTCTGCGGGATGGAGTTCCAGAGGGCGGGGGCAGAGTGGGTGAAGGCCAATGGTGGGGGGCGGGCGAGGCGGGGGACGTGAAGCAGACCAGAGCCCGCTGAGCGGAGGGAGGGAGCGGGCAGGAGATGGTAGGGGTTCAGGAGGTGGCAGAGGTCGGGGAGAGCGAGGCCACGGAGGGCTTTGAAGGTGAGGACCAGGATCTTGAACTGTATCCTCCGTGTGAGGGGGAGCCAGTGGTGGAGTTGGGCGAGGATGGGGGTGATGGGGTAGGGGGGGGTGGAGGTCGCGGAGCCTCGGTGGGGGTTGTTAAGGGCGGATGGAGCAGGGGACAGGAGTAGGTCAGTGTCGGGCAAGTGAAGGGAACAGATTGGTATGAGTAAGCACTGCGATTCCCTACGTAGTCAAATCTTGTCAGTAACTTGGCAGCTAAGTGTTGCGGTGGAGAGATAGGATGTCCTTGCGGTGGAGACCTCCGAGCCATGCTTATAGCGCCGCCCGGTGTAGGGAACAGGGCTTGCACCCGGACAACAACAACTTGCATTTACAAAGCGCGGGTGAGGCCGCGTACTTAAACGCTCAAACCCTTTGGAAACCCGGTTGATCTCAGCGCAGGGAACGCGCACGGAGGTATAACTCCGTCTCTCCTCTCTCTCTCTCTCTGTGTGTCTCTCTCTCACTGAATGTTGCTGTGAAAGCAATCAGAGCGACATCCGCCTTAAGGAAACACTTGAGAGTGAAGCCCTCTCTCCACACCTGAAGCACTCTCTGTAGCTCAGCGGTCAGAGCCCTCGCCTCGCAAGCGAGAGGACCCGGGTTCGATTCCCGGGTCGGGGCGAAACCTTAGGGAAGTTTCCTTACTCCCTCCCCCCCCACACACACACACAGACAGACATAGACACACACACACACAAACTGGTCGTTAGTCGATTGGTGGATCGCTTTCCGCGGGTAATAATCGCTTTAAAAAAAACCAAATAAATATAATAATTCGGTCACTCAGACCGCGGCTGTTTGTGGGGACGCTGCTGTGCGCACTCGGCTGCCGCGTTTCGCCCCCAAAATACACAGTCAACTCACTTCGCAGTATAGTCTGCGAAGGGCTTTGAGACGTCTGTCTCAACGATGTGATAATATCAAAATGCGATTATTATTATTATTATTATTACTATTAACAAATGCAGCGCTCCCTGAGACACTGAGCAGACGGACTCCCATTGCCCTTCTGCGCCAATTCACAAAGCCCGACACGTACAGAGCGCGTCAGAGATGTTTGGTGTTGACGTTAAAGTCACATTCGCCCTTTAAAAACCCACCGGCCCCGGCGTGGAGAGGGAGAGAGAGAGAGAGAGAGATGAGAAGATGCAGAGAAGGTGCTTTTATTTGTGGCAACTCCTGAATATTGCTTCCTGGCTCTTCTGGAAACCTGTCGAGCCCTAATGAACGCAAATGTCAGGCAGATCGGGAGATTAGCGCAGTATGTGTCGGGGGATGTTTTATGTACGCGCAGCAATTTTAATTAAACCCTCTCAAGTGTTCTATGACTCAGTGTTTCACGCATATAGGACGATAGAAAACAGCAAGACAAATGTGCAACTCTTTCCGTATATCC